GAATGTGCAATGATGTCCCCCACCAAGCCACCACACACAGCCACCCGGGACCAACAGCGGCCGCATCAGAAATATACATGTTGGGACAAAACGCGTGGGGAGGAAGAAGAGAACAGGAACACAGCTCAAATGTGTGTGTGTGTGTGTGTGTGTGTGTGTGTGTGTGTGTGTGTGTGTGTGTGTGTGTGTGTGTGTGTGTGTGTGTGTGTGTGGTGGTGGTGGTGGGGTTGCAAGCAGGAGTAACAGCAGCTTGAAAGCAGATCGCCAGGCCACGCATTGGTTGGCTGCCTTGTGTGTGTGTGTGTGTGTGTGTGTGTGTGTGTGTGTGTGTGTGTGTGTGTGTGTGTGTGTGTGTGTGTGTGTGTGTGTGTGTGCGCGGTTGGTTGGTTGGCTGTCAACAGGCCACAACCACCTGCATGGGTTGGAAACAATAATAAAAGAAAAAGCAGTCACAATGACCCAATGGAACCAGCCACAACGCTGCCGTGTTGATAGCACGCCATACAACGGCCGCAACCACTCCCCCAAGCAACAGACGGGGAAGCAATGGTGGAGGCAGCGGGTGGGGAAAGAACGGAAGACGAAAGGGAAGCGGTGGGAGGGGAGAGCTGAGAAAAAGTGGGCGACAAGAGGAAAGAGGAAAGAGGAAAGAGGAAAGAGGAAAGAGGAAAGAGGAAAGAGGAAAGAGGAAAGAAAGGAGCATACCAGCCCCAAGCACACACGCGCACACAATTGAAATGCGCACCAAAGCCAGGGAGGGGAGGGGGTTGGCGAGGGAAGGGGAAGGGGAAGGGTGACACGTCAGGACATGGTTGCACCCCAAGCGCAGAGCCACGTTCTATGGACGCGGGTGCGGCATACCGATCGCCCAGCTGAGGGACACACAGCAACTGCGGGACGGGGGAGGGGTCGGAAAGGTAGATCACCCAACGTATTGTTCGCAAGTGTGTGTGATTGTGGTGGAGGGTGAGTGTTGTGTTGGTATTGGTGGTGGTGTGACTGGTGGTGTAAGCGAGGTTGGTGAGAGTGAAGTTGGTGTGAGTGAAGTTGAGCAGGAGACAAAGAGGCACATGCAAACACACACACGCAGAAACAGACAACGAAGTTCATCCAACACACACACACACACACACACACACACACACACACACACACACACACACACACACACGCACACACACACACACACACACACACACAAATGGGCAAGCAAGCACGCCGATGGACGCGTGGTGGTGGATCCACATTGGTCGAGGGCATAATCATACCCCCAGTGATGTGCAGTTGCTTGCTTGGCTAGTCCTTCTGTGTGTTCCAGGTTTGGTGTCCGGTTCGCAATCCTTTGGTTGACGGAGATTTGGCGTGTTCCGACGAGCGCAGTCGCCTTCATCTGGTCCAAAACACGTCCTTTGGACACGCGGCAGGCAGCCTTGTCAGCATGAGCAGGGGCGAGGAGTCAACTTCAAGAGAAAGTTGTCGTGGACGTCGTGGCCTTGCTTGGCACATGCACACACACGCACACACGCACACACACACGCGCACGCGCATATGCGAGATGCGCTCATCCATGTCGGTTCAGCACCAGCATCATCAGCGGTTTGAGGAGAACGTCCATTGGGAGCAGCGACATCAACACGGTGGGTTGGTCGGTTGGTGGGCGGTTCGTGGGGGAGACAGCGATTTCAGCGAGCGAGCGAGCGAGCCGAGTGAAGGCGTTAGGGGAACGTTGGAGACGGGGAGGTGGGATGGTGGAAGGGTGAAGAGACAACAAGCCAGCCAATCCAGCCAAGCCAGCCAAGCGAGGAGAACAAGGTCGTTCGTTCTCTTCTTCCGCTCTGACTTGTTTTGCTGGTGCGGTTGTGGAGGATTGCTTGAAGATTTACACAAAACGGCGATCGGAAGGACAGCACGAACAAACCCAAAACAACAACCAACACGCACCAACAAGCAAGCAAGCAACAAGCAACAGCGCTTCTTGAGTTGCAGTTGTGTGGGTGATGTGTGGGTGATGTGTGGGTGATGTGAAGCATGATGGTTCGCACACACATGCACACACACACACTGGTGGTGTGTGCACATTCACATATCCACACAGAGCAAGCAAACCAAGTGGAGATGAATACAACAAAGGAGAAGAGCAGCACGAGTGCATTCAATCTCACACACGCACACGGTGCATCGACGTGGTTCGTACGAACAGCTGCAGGCCGAAGTCAGCAGCCGATAAAGGTACGCAGTGTTGGCTGAAATGAAGTGCGTGCATGTGTTGAATGCGTGTTGTGGTGTGTGTGGTGTACGTGCGTGTGTGTAGCGTACGTGCGTGTTTTGAGTGCGCTTGTGCTCTGTATTCTGTGTTGTTTCTTCATGCAGGTGCAAGCAAACACGCAAGCAGGCCGTTTCT